TTTATCAGCCCATATGCACTTAGAACCATTGACAGTCCTACATACATAGTCCTACATACACAAAAAGACTAGTTCTTTTGTGCACAGTAAAATTATTTGGTAGAATTGCAAAGAAAAAAAACCTTACATATATATATAGATAGATAGATAAATAGATAGATATATAAAGATACATAATAGAAGAAAAACACAACAATCCCTGATTTAGGTTAGATGACTTACAAGGCCTCTTCTCTCTAAAACTCTGTTTTCACTTAGCTACACAATTTTTTTTTTTTTTAGACAAGGTCTTGTTAAAGCACTTAGTTGCCCAGGTTGAGCTCCAACTTTTCAGTCCTCAGCTTTTTCTGAGCATTGATTACAGGCATTTACCATATGTAAATTTGAAAAAGGACTTCAGGGAAATGCTGTACTTTTGATTTTTACTGTCATAACTAATCGTAAAAGAAGGTTGGCAGGAGAACAAAAATGCACTGTGAAATGTCTCCTTCCTATTTACAGCAGTCTAACAAAGCTTTGATTGGTAGGCAAACTGTATCGGTACTGAATTACTTAGTTTAACAAATGTACATTGAGAAAGAGACAGACAGACAGACATTCGCGCTATCCTTGCAAAATACTTCCAAAGCTGTGATTCCTAGGAGCCTTTTCCTGCCAGGGAAGCAGTACTGCTGACAATGTACCGTCATGCTGACTCAGTGCTACCAAATGAAAATCCACAATTTTAAGTACAGCTCATCTATACTTAGGCAGTGCATAAAGACATGCATACAAACAGGACACACCTTTGGCTTGCAGCTTACTACCATGCTCCATTCTCCCGCCCATTATTGGTTATCAAATGGGATAAAATGTACATCTACATCCTTCGCACCTGACCACTTGAGAAACTACAACGGTTCCAGGGGAAGACACAGAGAAGAAAGTAGCCTGTCTAATTCACCGACATCAGGGTTCCTGACAAAAAGAAATCTGCTGACTGTACAACAAAATAAACTATCAAGTAACCTATTACTAATGCTACAGAAAATTTATGCTGCTCAGCTGGTTAAAAAAAAAAAAAAGGAAAGACTAGCTTATTCTAAAAAAAAAAAAAAAGCAATTTCAGGATTATCAATATTAAATCATCAGTAAGACTCTGTAGGTGATATCTTCCCCAACCTTGGCCAATTGAACAAGTAAGTTTTATCCTTTTGCCAGAAAACATGCAATCCCTTCAGTATAATTTCGAGACAAAAGACTGAATATTTTGAATATTACAGTGCTATTTTCCAAGAGCGAAATTAGTCCAAACTAGATAGACAACCTTGAGGACAGCAAGGTCACCTACAATCAAATGTGATTATTTTGACTATTATTTCTAGGATTCTATAGTATAATAAACTTTTAGTATGGGCTGATCATCCCACTTGGGACAAAATAAAATATGTATTGAATTAACTGTCCGGTAAAGAATGTTTCTCCTTTTTTTCTTTCTTTCTTTTTTTTTTTCCTTGAGAAAACATCTGGCTGTGTTGCCCAGATTGGCCTCCGACACACAGACTCCAGCAACTCCTCCTGGGGCCTCAGCCTCCCAAGTAGTGGCCAGGACCATAGGCGGGTGCCATTATGCGCCTGCTTGGACATTTCTTTTGCAATACAGATTCACATCAACAGAAGCACCGTGTCACACCAAATCGTCAACATTTAAATGAAACCAAAATGTATTTCAAAAATAAAATTTTATGCTCCCATTTAGGGATAAAAACTGAAACAAGAACACTAAAGAAAAAATTAAGAAGAAAATTAAGGTGTTTCACACTGTCATAATCTTGGAGCTTTATGGATCATTAGGTAATACATTCCTGATTACCTTACTCTTAGTCAATCAGTGATCTTATTAATAAAAGTAATTCCTGAACTACTTTAAATGACCTATATCGTCTCTTCTGTCAAGGACTGTTCAGCTTCACCTAGTTACGTGAATTTAAATAATTTGTCTTCTGGAAAGCTGTTAAACTTGGGTAATTAGGACACCATTTTGCATTCAAGTGATCTCATATACTTTCTAAGCAGTACTCAAGCAGCTAAGGGAGTTAATGTTCTTTAACAGACTCAGAGTTTACTAATATGCCCAGCAATGCTCTATAAATATTAATTCATCATACAGTATTTTCAGTGTACTTACTAAGTTCTTAGGAAGCTTAATGATGATACGAACTGGCTTTCACCAGTGAATAAAAGTGAACAACCGCATTCACTTAGTTTTTGAAATTAAAATTATTCATTTCTAATGATTAGGGCCACCCCACAGCAGCAATGAACCTAGCCGGTTAATTCTCCTGACTGCAATCCTTGGGGAGCCCTCAGAACAAAGTCCAAAGTCATCAGCAAGCCAGGAAGATGCTGTCGCTCCAGTCCCTGCCTTCTTCTCTTGCCTCAGTGGTCCCTTAAATGCTAACTACGTGCAGTTAACAAACACACGCCCTCGTTCCCACATGCCAGCGTACCAGGGAAGCTGCGCCTCCAGCTGCCATGCCAGCTTTCAATGTTATCTATTTAATTAACAAAAAACCCGGTCCTAACTCACCCTGACACACAGCCCAGAAGCCCCTCCCTGGGACAGCCACCTCAACCATGAACTTGGGTCAGGCAGCACCTTCCCTGCCTGCAGGGCTGTCTGTGATCCCCACCAGAAACTAAGACTGAAAGGCAAAGTCAAGCTGCTCACCCACTCTTTCACCCTCCCACTTACCTATGAATTCCTTAAAGGACAGAGCTGTACCTTTTATCTGCAAATCCCCCAGAGCCTGGCACCAAAACTGCTACCTACCAAGAGCTCAATGAATGACTTTTAAATAAATGCATCAGCACGTGAATATAGAAACCCTGTAAGCTCACAGAAAAACCAGACTGATTTTATCTCTGAAATATAAAAGGAACCGCTAAAAAAAAAAAAAAAAAAAAAAAACTGTGTATGGATACCAGAATGCCATACGTTTTTCTATTTAATTAACAAAAAAATAGCAAGGGTCACAGAAAAACATGTTTTCAGGTTCAATGATAGTTTTCAGACAACTAAAAATGCCCATAATACAAGAAAACGCCTTACTTTCCTAACCGTCGGAACGGTTGGTCTGTGCTAAGTGAATCTTCCCAGGGCTGGCTGCAGATCCAGCCCTACTCATCACTGATTTCAGCTCTAGTATAAAGGGCACAGTAAACTCCAGTAGCTCCCAGGGGAAGCAGGCAGCAAGGTGTACTGCAGCACCTGACCACGTGCCAGCCACTGGGGTGATTTCTTACAATAACTATTTTGATGACAATACAGTAGTACTGTTTTCACTTCTTGAATTTATTCATACTGTTTAAGGTAAATTCTGCCAAATCATTCACACTTCACCAAAAGCTGGAGTCATTCTTCTCAACTGTGAGGTCTAATGCTGGAGGAATTAGAAGCCGCATGGCCCAAGTCAGTGATGGCAAACCTTTCAGAGACCACGTGCCAAGCTGCAACTCAAAACCCACTTACTTACTACAAAGTGCCAACACTGCAATTAAACCTGAATACTGAGGTTTCAGTTTGGAAAAATGACTCATACATTAACATCTTTTCAACACCACTGGCTCAGGCAGCTTCTGCCCCAAGTGGAGAGACCCAGGAATCCCAGCACTGTAGAAGAGCTTCTCCACAGCGATGAGGAAAGGGCACTGCCCGGTTCTCAAAACTGATGGTCTTTCAACAACACAGAGAAAGGCTAAGGTACTGCTGACAACATTACCAGCACGGGCAGACTCTGAGAGTGGCCAGCTTCAATCCTATGGTTTTCTTTTTCTGCCTCTCTACTTTCTTCTGTTCTTCTCCTCTCCCAGAAACTCTGTGATTTCTTTAAAGCACTGACTAACAAGCAAAATGCAAACTGTGGGAAACTCTATAGAGTAAAAGATCTCTTCAATGAATAAACTGTAAGGGGAAAAAAAGAAATGGAAGGAGAAAACTATAAGAGACTTTAAATAAAGCTAATTATAATGCATAGGCATTATTTGGGTCCTGATTCAAAGGAACAAACTTAAATATATATATACATATATATAATTTATATCAATATCCTACCAATATCTATATATATGATATTTATGAGACAACTGGAAGTTTTCCTGAAAAACTGGTTATTCTCTTAAGGAATTATTCTTAATTTTTAAATTTAATTTAAAACTACATGAACAAGTCCTATCTCACCGTGTACTTATAGCTGGGTGAACTGCCTGCCAGAGTGATGTATATAAATACAAAAAAAAAAATTTACATGGCCTCCAAAACATGTATTAAATTAGCCAGTAAGTTCAAAATAATTTTCTGACATGTCTGTGGGTAGATGATACTGATCTAAACATAGGTACAAAACAAATTAGGTTTTTAAAACATGATTCACACTTGTTCAGTAAATAACACAGCCCTAAATGCACCAAGAGGATTGCCGCGGATGAGGAAAGGGAAAGGGAGGACTTTTGAGGGAAGTCCACATGAGTAGGCATGAGTCCGCACACCACCGGCATCCAAAAATCTAAGTGAGCAGCGAACTTTCAAGTTTATTCTTACAGTTTGGGTTTCCTAGGAAGGTTAGTCTTCCCCCATGTTTCCCCAGTACCAGTGCTGAGTTAGAAAGTCGTCTCCACGGTGAGAGTAATCCAAACCCTGCCTTAATAAGTCTCCTCCTGGTGCACCATTTTGGGGGAAGTAAGGTGAGCGGCCTCCCCACTGCCCACCTCTTGGCTTGGGTTACCACGCTGCTGGAGGCATCTGGCACAACCCTCCAAAAGCAAAGCCTGCGCTTTGGGTTTGTCGGCCCTTTTCCCCCTTCATTTTGCACGTTTTGCACAGACAGTGAGCGCTATGCAAGGCTCGCACCAAGACTGTGCTCAGCTCACGCTACACACCGCGTCTCCGGGGCAACTGAGCGCTGAGGCGGGGTCGCGGGGTCGCTGAGTGGCGGGGGCCTGGGCCCGCCCGCCCGCCTCACCTGCCGCGCGCCGGGGTCGCCCCGCACCCGCGTGCTGAGCTCGTCGTGCCGAGTTTCGTCGCCGCCGCCCGAGCTGTAGACGAGGCGCAGCGGCACGATGCTCTGGCGCTCCAGGAAGCGGTTTTCGTTCCTCCTCTGCAGCTCCGTCAAGGAGGTGTCTCCTTCCAGGCGGGAAGGGGAGCAGGAGGGAGTGGAGAGAAAAGGCAAAAATAATGACCCTGAGCCCCGCACACGCCTCCACCCTGCGGCCCGACACCTCCGCAGCGTCGAAGCCGCGGCCGCCGCCGCCTCCCGGCCCATCTGGAGGGCGCGGAGCCCGCCGGACGCCTGGACCACTCGGCTCAGCATCAGCCTCGCGGCCCGGAAGCACAGCACCCCTTTCCCATGCCCCCCATCCCTGCTCTGCACAGGAAAAGCAGGCTCCTGGCCCGAGGCTTCCACGGCATCCGCGCGCCCCCACGGATGAATTTTTCATGCACTTCTCACCACCCTTCCAAATTTAAAAAAAAAAAATCTCCCCGCGCGCTTAGGAAATGGGGCGCCCCTTTTTAATGCGTCTGCGGCTCCGAGGATGCCCGGAAAATGTACGTGCCCAGGGCACCGAGG